ATTCACACACATACAAGTGAGCGACATTCACATACGGGGAGGCGGGCGAGTCGGTGAGCGGTGGAGCAGCATAGATTATGGGGCTACAGAATGGAGGTTGTAAAGTAGTGAGTGGCGAGGCTCTCGGCCGGGCCGGGTCGGGCCCGTCTGGCGCGCACGGATTCGCGTCGAATAGCTCCTCGAGAGTTCGGCTCGGCCAGGTTTACGCGTCTGTAGAATATGACTGTAGTGCTGCACAGCCCCTTCGGAAGGATTTGGGGGGAGATAGAGCGTCTCCTGCAGGATCGAGAGAGAGAGAGAGAGCGAGTTGCGAGAAAGAGAAATCCATTGCTAAACAAACATGTTTTCAATATCGCAGAACTTGCAATCCTTCTTTTCCTATACTTTATAATAAAAGAGGCCAAAAAAAGTTTGGACTGTTAGCCCTGAAGTACAGTGTTTCACAAATTTAGAAATGGCCTAACCCTGTCTTTATTAGTGTTAGTGAAGGAATGAGATAGAGAGGGAGAGCAGAGATAAACAACTGTACTTACATATAAAGGCGCATAAAAGCAAAAGGGTTCCGAGCAGAAAAACAGCGAGTTTGCCCATTCATTCTGCGCTAATTATGTCGAAAGTAGCTCCAAGCTGTGCTTCGCATGGAGTTATTTCATTCAGCGCAACATGCATGGGCGCGGCGGGGCGCTCCTCCCTCTCCACTCGCGTGCCAATTAGAAACGAAATTAAGCGCCGCGACCAAACTTTTCTCGTCCACGACGCGTGTCATATAAGAGAGGGGGCGAAAAGAGGGCGTGGGGATATGGGGTGGAGCAGGGGAAGCAGCGTGCATGTGTGTGTGTGTGTGTCGCAGGCAAACGAGGGCCGCTTTCAAATAATTCGGATTCTGAAAGACTCATTTCCTTCCCTCCCCCTCCTCCCCTCCCCCTCCCTGGCACTCAGCAGGCTGTTGTGCTGTAAACGCACAACCTCCCCCCCTTCCTCCATCCCCTCGCCCCGCGGGCTCCGTGTACCGAAGCAGGAGAATTAGCATCGCCCGATAGAGTGGTCGCCTGTCTGGCCCTGGCCCGGGCCCGGGGGGGTAAGCTCGGCTGCATAGGAGTACTTATTCGCCCCGATACACTTATCACGTCGGCCTAATTTCACAAAATTTTCTCGTTCACTTTTTTCCTTTTTCCTGTATCACGGAATTGCCATGTGCAGCGTAAGCGAAAGCTTGACATTCCTTGGTGGATTAAGTTCCTGATCCTATAACCTCACTCTGCTGGAAAATACTTTCATGTTCCACTCCCTCTTCCCTCCAAAAATAAAATAAAACAACGACAACGTTGAACCCTAAAAGACTTAATAGCGCCCGTCTCTCTGTTGTTTCATGACAACTCGTGACCGCTCTTAATGCAAATGGGGTGTCTGTGTGTTCTCGCTGCTGATCGCGATAGGCGGGCGGCGGGCAGCAGGTAAGCGGGCCGCGTGCGCCGCCCCGGGGGGCAGGGCAGACATTTCTGAAATAAGGAGGCGGGCAATAAATTATTAATCTAATCTAATCTGCTGCTGCTTGTTCTGTTCCAGCCGTTGCGCGCCGGTGTCCCAGCAGCCCCGGAGGTAAACTAGTGTAGCGCGATTCGGCCGCTTCGATAAGGGATATCCTCCGCAGCGGCGGTGGTGACTTTCTGCATCTCGAGCGGACGCGGCGTTCTCCAGCCGCTGGAAGATTCTGGTGAATTCTCAAAGATAGTATAAAAACAAATGCGAATTTGTGTGTATCGCTAAGAATTGCTATTGTGAAGGATTTGTTCGTATTGCGAAAGGATTCGGCTGAAATTTGTAAACCCTTTGAAAGGATGTCTTCACACCGAATAGTATTTTTCATACTAAAACCGAAATTGTTCGTAATCGGTTCGCAGCAGCCACAATACTTCACGCGGGGTTCGTGCAGTGTACTTGTTATTCCTATTTCCTTTCAAAGATTTTTTTCTTTTTTCCGTGAGCACATAGCCTTGTTGTTTTGACCCTTGCAGGCTTATTTACAGAGCGCCCGGGCTGGGCCTGGGCCGACCACGACATAATTATTTTTGTGTTTTCGAGTGAAAAATAATCTCCGGACTAAAAGAAGCGAGAGGCAAAGGAGGGGGATGGAGGCGAGGTAGGCGCTGCAATTATCATTCATTTTCCTTCCCCTCTGGAGTTCCGCACACGGTATGGCGGCATCGCAACAACCGCGCGCCACGGCCAACGCTGAGGTATCATTTCGCCCCCGCCCGCCCCCTCCCTCTCTCCCTCTCACTCCCTCTCTCTCCCTCTCTCTCCCTCTGCTACGCCATGCGTGCACACCCGGCCACGCTTACCGTCATTCTCTGCACATGAGAGGTGGAGCCCGGCCCGTCACAGCGGCCCGTCACGTGCCGTGACTACTCTGCTCTAATCCGATTCTGTGCCGAGCCGAGCCGAGCCTGCATGTAGGCCTTGCTTGCCCCCCCCCCATTCCCCCTCTTCCAGTCCCCCTCCTCCTTCCCCCCGCCCTCCCGCCCAGAGTGGTAGGCAGGCCAAGCTGGTGCCCCTGACAAAGTGCCTGCCGCGCACCACACAGTTAAAATTAAATTATTTCGAGGTCTTCCTGTTGTTTATGTTCTGTCTTGGCCCTTTTTTTGTGTTAGAAAACGGGCAAGAGCGCCCTGCGTCGTGAATATACTGCTGCCCCACCGCCGCTAGTGGACTCGTGTACGACGAACGCATTAGCGAAAGTAAGAACTGTTATTAACAACTATCAACAGTCTCTCTCTCCCTCCCTCTTTCTCTTCTCGCGCTCCGTTGACCGTTCCATTTTTCGCCCGCGTTGGCTCCTGACCTTTATTGTGCTCTGGTTGAGGGCCACTGGGGGGAAAGTTATGGTCACAATTACGAGAAGTTTCGCCCGTTATTTTGCGCTTTTCCCGCCGAAATAAAAGATTCACATCACGGCCGCCTAAACTTGGAGTAGAAAAAAGAAAGCTGCTTGGTGGGCTGGGTGAAATACAGAGCACGATGTGCAGATTTCCTTCTGCATAATTACTATCGCTAAAGACTCGACGCTAACATCTCGACTGCTAGCAAGTCCGCACTCCACACTACTAGAGACACAAGAATGTAAATGTCGCGCTCTTGTATGTGTGCGAATGCCTATTCGGACACTTAGAGTAGAAGGTGTGATTTTTCGGAATTTTCATCCGAAATTCACACACTTGAGCCTTCGTGTGTACGGATGCCATTCACACACATACAAGTGAGCGACATTCACATACCTGCACATACTCGGCTTTCCAGTGCATGCAACCTGAAAATATCTCGGATTATGAACATTTTTGCCTCATACTGTGAGGAAGGTTTTCCAGTGTATGTCTGCCTCCTCTGTCGCGTGGCAAAAGGATTGCGAATGCGCTGTGCCGTACCTGTCATCGTACACGAAGCCCGCGCCGAGCGTGTTGACGTAGAGGACGAAGGCCAGGGCCGCCACCGCCAGGCTGGTCCCGTCCATCGCGTCACCTGCGGAAGGAAGACATAGTGAGAAACTGTTGTACCAGATACATGAAGGTTTTTCATGGATGGTGTATGCACAATTCAAAATTGTAAATTCACAAGTTCGTGTACTACTTGAAATCTAGTGATGAGCAAGATTGTGATGTTCTACTTCACTTTTTTCCTTTTTCCTGTATCACGGAATTGCCATGTGCAGCGTAAGCGAAAGCTTGACATTCCTTGGTGGATTAAGTTCCTGATCCTATAACCTCACTCTGCTGGAAAATACTTTCATGTTCCACTCCCTCTTCCCTCCAAAAATAAAATAAAACAACGACAACGTTGAACCCTAAAAGACTTAATAGCGCCCGTCTCTCTGTTGTTTCATGACAACTCGTGACCGCTCTTAATGCAAATGGGGTGTCTGTGTGTTCTCGCTGCTGATCGCGATAGGCGGGCGGCGGGCAGCAGGTAAGCGGGCCGCGTGCGCCGCCCCGGGGGGCAGGGCAGACATTTCTGAAATAAGGAGGCGGGCAATAAATTATTAATCTAATCTAATCTGCTGCTGCTTGTTCTGTTCCAGCCGTTGCGCGCCGGTGTCCCAGCAGCCCCGGAGGTAAACTAGTGTAGCGCGATTCGGCCGCTTCGATAAGGGATATCCTCCGCAGCGGCGGTGGTGACTTTCTGCATCTCGAGCGGACGCGGCGTTCTCCAGCCGCTGGAAGATTCTGGTGAATTCTCAAAGATAGTATAAAAACAAATGCGAATTTGTGTGTATCGCTAAGAATTGCTATTGTGAAGGATTTGTTCGTATTGCGAAAGGATTCGGCTGAAATTTGTAAACCCTTTGAAAGGATGTCTTCACACCGAATAGTATTTTTCATACTAAAACCGAAATTGTTCGTAATCGGTTCGCAGCAGCCACAATACTTCACGCGGGGTTCGTGCAGTGTACTTGTTATTCCTATTTCCTTTCAAAGATTTTTTTCTTTTTTCCGTGAGCACATAGCCTTGTTGTTTTGACCCTTGCAGGCTTATTTACAGAGCGCCCGGGCTGGGCCTGGGCCGACCACGACATAATTATTTTTGTGTTTTCGAGTGAAAAATAATCTCCGGACTAAAAGAAGCGAGAGGCAAAGGAGGGGGATGGAGGCGAGGTAGGCGCTGCAATTATCATTCATTTTCCTTCCCCTCTGGAGTTCCGCACACGGTATGGCGGCATCGCAACAACCGCGCGCCACGGCCAACGCTGAGGTATCATTTCGCCCCCGCCCGCCCCCTCCCTCTCTCCCTCTCACTCCCTCTCTCTCCCTCTCTCTCCCTCTGCTACGCCATGCGTGCACACCCGGCCACGCTTACCGTCATTCTCTGCACATGAGAGGTGGAGCCCGGCCCGTCACAGCGGCCCGTCACGTGCCGTGACTACTCTGCTCTAATCCGATTCTGTGCCGAGCCGAGCCGAGCCTGCATGTAGGCCTTGCTTGCCCCCCCCCCATTCCCCCTCTTCCAGTCCCCCTCCTCCTTCCCCCCGCCCTCCCGCCCAGAGTGGTAGGCAGGCCAAGCTGGTGCCCCTGACAAAGTGCCTGCCGCGCACCACACAGTTAAAATTAAATTATTTCGAGGTCTTCCTGTTGTTTATGTTCTGTCTTGGCCCTTTTTTTGTGTTAGAAAACGGGCAAGAGCGCCCTGCGTCGTGAATATACTGCTGCCCCACCGCCGCTAGTGGACTCGTGTACGACGAACGCATTAGCGAAAGTAAGAACTGTTATTAACAACTATCAACAGTCTCTCTCTCCCTCCCTCTTTCTCTTCTCGCGCTCCGTTGACCGTTCCATTTTTCGCCCGCGTTGGCTCCTGACCTTTATTGTGCTCTGGTTGAGGGCCACTGGGGGGAAAGTTATGGTCACAATTACGAGAAGTTTCGCCCGTTATTTTGCGCTTTTCCCGCCGAAATAAAAGATTCACATCACGGCCGCCTAAACTTGGAGTAGAAAAAAGAAAGCTGCTTGGTGGGCTGGGTGAAATACAGAGCACGATGTGCAGATTTCCTTCTGCATAATTACTATCGCTAAAGACTCGACGCTAACATCTCGACTGCTAGCAAGTCCGCACTCCACACTACTAGAGACACAAGAATGTAAATGTCGCGCTCTTGTATGTGTGCGAATGCCTATTCGGACACTTAGAGTAGAAGGTGTGATTTTTCGGAATTTTCATCCGAAATTCACACACTTGAGCCTTCGTGTGTACGGATGCCATTCACACACATACAAGTGAGCGACATTCACATACCTGCACATACTCGGCTTTCCAGTGCATGCAACCTGAAAATATCTCGGATTATGAACATTTTTGCCTCATACTGTGAGGAAGGTTTTCCAGTGTATGTCTGCCTCCTCTGTCGCGTGGCAAAAGGATTGCGAATGCGCTGTGCCGTACCTGTCATCGTACACGAAGCCCGCGCCGAGCGTGTTGACGTAGAGGACGAAGGCCAGGGCCGCCACCGCCAGGCTGGTCCCGTCCATCGCGTCACCTGCGGAAGGAAGACATAGTGAGAAACTGTTGTACCAGATACATGAAGGTTTTTCATGGATGGTGTATGCACAATTCAAAATTGTAAATTCACAAGTTCGTGTACTACTTGAAATCTAGTGATGA